GAGCGATCCACCCGCCTCGGCCTCCCAGAGTGCTAGGATTACAGGCGTGAGCCACCGCGCCCGGCCGCCTTCTAACTTTTAAAAGTTAATTTTTCAGCCTTAAAAAGTTTACTGTGGCTTTTATATAGAAAGTAGAATGGAGGAGACGAAGGTGAAATCAGGGAGACTAGTTAGGAACCTATTGTGTGCTGAAAAATGGTAGTTCCCTAAACTAGGGTGTAAAGTAGAGAAGTGATCCATTTCTGGATACATTTCAATAGTAAAATGGTTGTTCTTAACAGAGATGAAATAAGGTGGCTTAAATGTTATTTTGGCCTGAGCAACTAGTTTGGAGTTGCCTTAATGGGGAAGACATGTTTATGGGAAGATTGGGAGTTTGGTTTCAAACATAATGATGTGTTAAGATGTCTGCTAGACACCAAGGGGCCATGTGAGGAAGGTAGTTGAATCAATATGTGTCACTGTCTCTGCTCCTACAGCTCACTGACCAGGCTTGGCTCCCAGCTGGGGTTCGAGTGCCCCTTCATCAAGTACCCTATACTGTGAAGGGCTGTTTCTGCTTCTTGCCTCCAGCCCAGGTCACTGTTGTGGGCAGCTACCTTCTGGGCACCTGCATCCGGCCAGACATCAATGTGGATGTGGCATTGACCATGCCCAGGGTAAGCTCCAGGGTTTGGTAAATAGAGGGGCCCACTACTTAAACATCTACACGTCCCCGAATCCTTCTCTCTTACCTGCCACTTGCCAGTGGGTTGAAATCTGAATTCTAAGTCAGAAGAGTGGAAGACCACTGCATTCATCCTGAGGGAAGCTTACATGGGCCCTTGGGCCAGTTGCTGTCCTTTTGGAGCTTTGCTTTTCTCATCCGAGAATTGAGTATGGTGTTGTTCGCCCTGGCTCAGGCACTTCTATCTGTAGAGACGCCCTGGGACTCTCACCTAGGATTCATCTTGGCCGAAGCTCTACAAGCACTTACATGCCTGGTCATCTCTCTTGTCCCCTGTCCTCTCCAGGAAATCCTACAGGACAAGGATGGGCTGAACCAGCGCTACTTCCGCAAGCGTGCCCTCTACCTGGCTCACTTGGCTCACCACCTAGCCCAAGATCCCCTCTTCGGCAGTGTCCGCTTCTCCTACTCCAATGGCTGCCATCTGAAACCCTTGCTGTTGCTGCGGCCAAATGGTGGGAGGCACACACCGGGCTGAGGACATAGTACGGGGTGACAAATCTAGAGGGGTTGCACAGGGGCCTCAAGTCTTGGGGAGTAGAGACAAGGGTCTCAAGTCCAAGGCGAGAGGCATGGGCCTCAAGTTTGAGGGAAAGGTGTAGAGACCTCAAATTCTAGAGTGAGAAGGCATGGGGCCCTCAAGTATGAGGAAGGTGGTGTGGGGGCCCCTCTGGCTCCAGGGGCTGCAGAGTCTCAGCACCCCCTTTGTCTGCTAGGGAAGGATAAGAGTTTGGTCACCGTTCGTCTGCATCCCTGCCCTCCGCCTGACTTCTTCCGCCCATGCCGCTTGCTGCCAACCAAGAACAATGTGCGCTCTGCCTGGTATCGAGGGCAAAGTTCTCCAGGGGATGGTGAGCAGGGATTGGTGTCGAGGTGGAGCTGAAGGGAAGGGGTATTGTGGAGACTTCTCTCATAGCTTCCCTTTTCTTCCCACAGGTAGTCCAGAGCCCCCTACCCCCCACTACAACACATGGGTCCTGCAGGATATAGCTCTCGAGTCCCATTTGCAGCTCCTGTCAACTATGCTGGGTTCAGCCCCAGGGCTGAAGGACGGTGTGGCACTTCTGAAGGTCTGGCTGCGGCAGCGGGAGCTGGATAAGGTGAGTTGGGGGTGGCTCAGCTTCTTTGCCTCGATGAGTGGGCTGGCTCTAAGCTCAGGCCTCTCCCTTTATCTCTCTTTCAGGGTCTGGGTGGGTTTACTGGGTTCCACGTTTCCATGCTGGTTGCCTTCCTCGTGTCCACACGCAAAATCCACACCACCATGAGCGGCTACCAGGTCCTGAGAAGCGTCTTACAGTTTCTGGGTGAGGCAACTAGATGGGGAAAGGCCAGGAGTTCCACTCATCCCAGGAATCCTCTCATCCCCTCATGGGTCCTTTGCTTTCTTGCCATTAGACAGATGAGAAAACTGAATCCCAGAGGCAGGCAGTTGCAGCCACCCAGGCCAAAGGAGGGTGTCATCAGGGTGGGGGCCCCAGAGAGGCGGGATACCTCCTGACACATTCCTCTGGTTCACTCCAGCCACCACAGATCTGACAGTCAACGGGATCAGCTTATGTCTCAATTCTGATCCCTCCTTGGTAAGTTGGGGAAGGGTCAGGTTTATGCCAGGAGGGAGCCTGAAGGTAAGGCCCCAACGCTGACTGGCTTCTCTCTACACCCCGCAAGCCGGCCCTGGCTGACTTCCACCAGGCCTTCCCTGTTGTCTTCCTGGACTCCTCGGGCCGTCTCAACCTCTGTGCTGATGTCACTGCCTCCACTTACCACCAGGTACCAATGGGCCTCTACTCCTGGATTCCTCTGGTGTCCCAGCCTAAACCTGTCCCTTCAGGAAATACCAGAACTGTAGACACTCCCCTCCAGAGAGCTAAGGTCAGGCATGTCTCCTGGTCTGAGCCCTTGGGTCAATAAAGGGTACTGAGGTGGTCCCTTACCCTCTGGCTCCAGGTGCAGCACGAGGCACGGCTGTCTATGGCGCTGCTGGACAGCAAGGCTGATGATGGGTTCCAGATGCTGTTGATGACTCCGAAACCCATGATCCGGACTTTTGACCACGTCCTGCAGTGAGTTTGGGGTGACAGGGTATGTTGGTGGGTCCAGGTCCTGTCTTCCTGGGGTTACAGTGCTGGGGCAAAGGTCTTCCGGCAGATGCTCAGATCTTCCAGGGAGGAGGTGATACAGGGAGCCAGCAGACCCTGATTCCCCCTTTGGCCCTCTTTACCCCCAGTCTCCGTCCATTGAGTCGCCTGCAGGCAACATGTCACCGGCTAAAGCTCTGGCCAGAGCTGCAAGACAATGGTGGGGACTATGTCTCAGCTGCTTTGGGCCCACTGACCACCCTCCTGGAGCAGGGCCTCGGGGCCCGGCTGCACCTGCTGGCTCACTCTCGGCCCCCAGTCCCAGAGGTGAGGTGGAGTAGGTTGGAGTGTTTGGGGCTCTGAGTAGGGGGTGGATCCAGGGTCCCAAGGGACACAAAAGGCACACCATCCTTCTAGCTAGCTTGAAAATAGTTTCCAGGCTGAGGGATTCTTGGATTCAGCCCAGCCTTTTTACACCCTACAGTGGGACATCAGCCAAGATCCACCGAAGCACAAAGACTCTGGGACCTTGAGCCTGGGATTTCTCCTCCGGCCTGAGGGACTGACCAGTGTCCTTGAGCTGGGTCCAGAGGCCGACCAGGCCGAGGTGAGAACCCCAGCATGCGTGTTGGAAAGCATGGGGTTGACCATCCTCATGCCACCTGGATTGAAGCCTGGGAGGCAGACTTTAAGTGAGCCCGTCTGTCCTGATTTCTCCACCACCCCTTGCCTGTCCTTAGGCCGCTGACTTCCGCCACCTCTGGGGATCCCGCTCAGAGCTTCGGCGTTTCCAGGACGGAGCCATTCGGGAAGCTGTGGTCTGGGAGGCAGCCTCTATGTCCCAGAAGCGCCTTATTCCCCACCAGGTGGTCACCCACCTCTTGGCACTGTGAGTGTTAGCATCTGAAGGCCAGGAGCCAACTGTGGGCTGGGGGGCCTTTTAGCAGGGTCTGGCCCAGGCTGTCGAGGATGAGCATAGCCCATAATGCCTTCACTGTGTGCGTGCCTCTTCAGACATGCTGACATCCCAGAAACTTGTGTCCACTATGTGGGGGGCCTCGTGGATGTCCTGATACAAGGCCTAAAAGAGGTAAGGAAGGACCTTGGGGTCAAGGCTAGCAACTGTGGAGTAACCTGTGGGGGAGAGAGCCCTTTCCGCTCAGCCAGGCTGCACTTCCTGGCATGTCCAGCAGGGGGGGAGCTGGCTTCACTGCAGCCTGAGCCAGGCCGAATCCCAGGTGGTTCTGACTGTCTTCTCTCTCTCAGACCTCCAGCACAGGTGAGGAGGCCCTGGCAGTGGCAGTGCGTTGCTATGATGACCTTAGCCGCCTGCTGTGGGGACTGGAGGGTCTCCCGCTGACTGTGTCTGCTGTTCAGGGAGCTCACCCAGTGTTGCGCTACACAGAGGTGAGGTGCAAGGGGGCAGGGAACGCTTTCTGTTTTGTGACCCCCCCACCTCTGCTCCAGTCATCCAGGGTTTCCCACTTCCAACTCCTGACTCTGGGCAGTCCCTGCCAGTGCTAGGCCCCTTCCTCAGTCCCCCTTCTTCCACAGGTATTCCCGCCAACCCCGGTCCGACCAGCCTACTCCTTCTATGAGCACCTACGAGAGCGAGCCTCACTGTTGCCCCGGCTCAGTAAGCCCTGCCCGGCCTACGTGGAGCCCATGACCGGTAAGAGGGCCCTTGGGAGGGAGTGGGAGGGACAGTTTCTGCTTCAGGCCGCAGCGTGAGACCTTTGCTGTTCTCCCTCAGTGGTTTGTCACCTGGAGGGCAGTGGTCAGTGGCCACAGGATGCTGAGGCCGTGCGGCGGGTCCGAGCTGCCTTCCAGCTGCGCCTGGCAGAGCTGCTGACGCAACAGCACGGGCTGCAGTGCCGTGCCACTGCCACGCACACTGATGTCCTCAAGGTTAGGCTGGGGCAGGGCAGGTATGTCCCCAGGGGAGGAGAGGATCAGGGATGTCAGCGTGTAGAAGAGGATACCCTTGTGGGCACCAGGCTGGAGAGCAGGGATATAGACAGCAGAACACCCCAGGGTCCCATCCCATACCTTTTCCAACAGGATGGGTTTGTGTTCCGGATTCGCGTGGCCTATCAGCGAGAGCCCCAGATCCTGAGGGAGATGCGGAGCCCAGAGGGGATGATCTCACTGAGAGACACACCTGCCTCCCTCCGCCTTGAAAGAGATACAAGGCAGTTGCCCCTACTCACCAGTGCCCTGCATGGGTAAGGCCACCTGCTCTTTCTGTTGCTGGCCCTTCCCTGCCGCCATTTTGCTGGCCGTGTGTCTCTGTGGGAGGCCAGATGGTATGGTAGTTAGGGCTGGAGTTCTGGAGTCAGGCAAGTTCTGGAACCTTGGCCTTTCCACTTACTGACTGCGTCCTACGTAACACATTAGTGCAGAGGCTGGCATTGGGTAAAGGTTGGGTAAACAGTGGCAGTGGGGCTGAGACACTGTTCTTGGGCCCAGAGTGCCTGAGTCTCACTGCCACTACCCTCGTTCCCCTAGACTTCAACAACAGCACCCAGCCTTCTCGGGTGTGGCTCGGCTGGCCAAGCGGTGGGTGTGCGCCCAGCTTCTGGGTGAGGGGTTCACTGATGAGAGCCTGGACTTGGTGACTGCTGCCCTTTTCCTGCACCCCGAGCCCTTCACCCCTCCCAGGTGATTCCCTCTGCTTTTTCCCTATCCAGGAAGTTCCCAGGGGGGCCAGCTGTCAACCTTCATGCTGTACCCTCAGTCCAAATGGGAGAGCGTGTTTGAGCAAGTGACAGGGATTCTAAGATGTCCCCCTCCCCTGCTCATCCACACCAAGGGGTCTGGACTCCCCAGATTGTGGAAAGCCCAGGGCTGGGCTCCAGATTCTTTGTTCACTCCTGCCCTTCAGCTCCCCCCAGGTTGGCTTTCTTCGGTTCCTTTTCCTGGTATCAACCTTTGATTGGAAGAACAACCCCCTCATTGTCAACCTCAACAATGAGCTCACTGGTAAGTGGTAGGACTGGGGCCAGACTGCTGGAAAAACTACCCTTTATGGATTGCTGAGTAGGTCAGGCAAGGGTTTTCCCTGTCAGTCTGTTAGGTTTTCTCTTTGCTTCCTCCATCCCAGATATCTAAGCCAAATGCTGACTACCCTGGGGTAGAGAATTGTCAGGAGGAAGAGGTCCAGGTGAAACCTGACTAAAGATGTGGTTTGTCCATGACATGGGCAGAGACACAGTCACTGGGGGTGGAAACAGGTTACCTGGGGGCTGTGGAAGGGGAAGGGGAGAGGACAGTAGAAAGGGGATCCTGAACACCAGGTGAGAAGTCTTGTGGTGAGGAGCTAGGGAGTTTAGAATAGATGCCCAGACCTCTTGGGGTGGGAATGGTGATTTCTGGTTGTAACATGAAGAGCTTCTGGTCTCAGCAGAGAGTAGGGTGTCAGGTTCCTAATTCCCCAGGTGTGTAAGAGCCCAGGGTGGGAGGGGGCCAGGGGCAAGCCTAAGCTTGTACAGGCCCAGAAACCAGATTGGGGGTGCCAGGCAGTGGAAAAATTCTGCCTCTGAGCTAGGGTTGGGAGATTAACGACCCACCCAATTGAGGCAAATGCAGTGTCCCTTCCGTTGCCTTTGCCACTTGGGGGTTGGATGTTGGAAAATGCCTATGATAAGCAGCTGTTGGGGCCACAGTAGGAGGACCTGGGGCATTAGAGGGGTCTTGTGGGGAAGTGCAGGCTGACCCAGGACCCCTTTTTTTCTCTAGCGGAGGAGCAGGTGGAGATACGCAGTGGCTTCCTGGCAGCTCGGACACAACTCCCTGTCATGGTCATCATTACTCCTCAGGACCGCAAAAGCTCTGTGTGGACACAGGATGGACCCTCAGCCCAGGTTCAGCCCCACACCTGCCCCCAAATGTGTGGTTTTCTTTAAGGAAAAAGCAAGACCAGCCTGAGTTAGGAGATACCTTAGTCTGAAATATCTCTACTCCCCAGATCCTACAGCAACTCGTGGTCCTGGCAGCCCAAGCCCTGCCCATCCTAGAGAAGCAGCTAATGGATCCCCAGGGGCCCGGGGATATCAGGGTAAGCCTCTGACCCCCAGAAACTCCAGTGGCTCTGGGTGTTCTGTCTGTCAACTGTGGAAGTTCAGCATTCAAGGGGCCCTCACAGGATGTCTGGTGGGACTAAATCCAGAGAAGGCACTGAAGCTGCCATGGTGCCTGGAAGTGGCGCAGCCTAGAGAACCTGTGCTCTAGGCCTCATGCTTCTAGCCTGTGCTCCTGCTGCTGGACTTGAGCTAACACCAGCTGCTTTCTCTGTGGGTCTTGGTGTTCCCGTCTTCAAGTGGGCGTGCAGGTCCCTAATGGGTGGTCAGATGAAGGGGAAGGGGGGAACCAAGGTGGGTAAGTGGAGAGGTTTGTTGTCCAGCTCCCAACTACTCCCCCCTTCCTTAGACAGTGTTCCGGCCACCCTTGGACATGTACGATGTGCTGATCCACCTGTCTCCCCGCCATATCCCCCGGCACCGCCAGGCTGTGGACTTGCCACCTGCCTCCTTTTGCCGTGGCCTGCTCAGTGAGCCAGGGCCCTCGTCTCTAATGCCTGTGCTGGGCTACGATCCTCCTCAGCTCTACCTGGCACAGCTCAGGGTAGGTCCTAAATAGCTGACTGACCCTGGGGAGGGGACTTTCCAGGCGAAGCTGGGGCCATGGAGGAGGCTCTCAGGTGCCCATGTGTAATCTTATCTCTGTTCTGTCCCTTCCTAGGAGGCCTTTGGGGATCTGGCCCTTTTCTTCTATGACCAGCATGGCGGAGAGGTGATTGGTGTCCTCTGGAAGCCCACCAGCTTCCAGCCTCAGCCCTTCAAGGTGCGCTGGCTGGTGTCAGCTGTGTGTTCCTGAGTGTGTACACGTGGTTCCACGTGGGTGTGCATGTCTTTGTGTAGTCTGCTCCATGAGTGACGCTGTGTCAGGTGTGGAGTGTGTGGGTTTGTGTGTCTATCTCTACTGCCCCCACCCTGGTGTCTCTGGGTGTGCCTTTGTGACACCTCAGCCCACATTTCTTTTCTGATTCCCCCAGGCCTCCAGTGCGAAGGGACGCATGGTAGTGTCTCAAGGCGGGGAGCTGGTGATGGTACCCAATGTAGAAGCAATCCTGGAGGACTTTGCCGTGCTGGGTGAAGGCCTGGTGCGGGCTGTGGAAGCCCGAAGTGAGAGGTGGACTGTGTGATCCCAGCCCCAGAGAAAGCTGTAGAAGGACAGGAGGACTTTTGACCTCGGGAGCAAGATGTCAGTGGGATGATCTCCATCCTCATTGCGTATGGACCCTCCACGGAGGGCCTACTGGCTGAAAACACAGGATTGTCGCTAGCAAAAGCCCTGATGTTCTAGAATTGGGGCAGGGACATGGTGTCTTATGGAGTCTCCTGGGCCTCTCTGGTTTTTTTTGTTTGTATGTTTGTTTTTGAGACAGAGTCTCACTCTCTTGCCTGGGCTAGAGTGCCGTGGCATCAACCTAGCTCACAGCAACCTCAAACTCCTGGGCTCGAGCGATCCTCCCGCCTCAGCCTCCCAGGTAGCTGGAACTACAAGCATGCACCACCATGCCTGGCTAATTTTTTCTATTTTTAGTTGTTTGGCTAATTTCTTTCTATTTATAGTAGAGATGGGGTCTCGCTCTTGCTCAGGCTGGTCTCGAACTCCTGAGCTCAAGCAACCCTCCCACCTCGGCCTCCCAGAGTGTTAGGATTACAGGCGTGAGCCACCGCACCCGGCCTCCTGGGCCTCTCTGAACTCCCAGAAGAGGAGTGGGAGCCACTGCAGAGAACTGAATCCAGAAGATCCATCTATCCGTTTGCCCTGGGCTTGGACTTTTGGGAGTTTTTTCCCTTCTTAGGCTTCTCCCAGAAGCAGCTGGAGAAGGGAGCATGTGCCTGAGGCGGAGGTTCTGTCCCCTTCTGCTGCTAGGATATGTTCCTAGGTCTCCGTATGCCCTTCACTGCAGCATCAGCCCTTTAGGCGGGACCCAGCAAAGATGTGGCACTTCCTGAGGGTCATGGCACCAGCACTGAGCAGTGGAAAGGGGGCTGTGTGTGTATGAATATACCACATTGAAGGAGCACAATGGCCTCCTGTTGGTGCTGTTTCCCAGGGTGGAGATAGTGGAAAAGGACAGAGGACAGGAAGGGGCTGGATGGGTGAAGGGGTCAGGGGGGCTGGTGGTCCCCCAGTTCAGGAGAGATGCAAAAAGCACTTGGTGCTGCCCCCTGGCCTCTCTTGAGTCCCACCAGCTCTGTGCATTTGCCCTGGCTGCCCATTCGTGCCACAGACTACCACCTCTGTGCCCCTGCAGGGTTGCAGAGATGAGCAAGACCCAAGTCCAGCTCTCCAGGAGCTCCCAGGGCCCCGGGGTGGGGGTGGGGGTGGGGGAGCTGCCTCCTCTCAGTCTGTCCACGCCCCCTTCCTGGCAGCCTCTCTTGCATCTCTGCCTCCCCTAATCCTGGCTGTTTTTCCAGACTCAGCTCAAATAATGCCCCTCCTTGAGCCTATCCCTCGCCCCCAGCCTGAGGTGATCTTTCCCTCCTCTGAACTATTAAAGCAATTATTGCCTGTTCAGTTCACTTGGCAGGCACACATGGTGGTGTGAACTCTTCTATTGTCTTAAACTCTGATTTAAAATTAAATTGCTTAATTCCCCCATGTTCCTGGCTTGTTCCTTTCCACTGGTTTTGACCTGGTCTCTTGTATGTAAGCTTCTTGAAGGCAGGGAGCATGTTTGAACATAGATTGGTTGGTGTCCATGGCACCTAGTATGTTGCTGTGCTTAAGGGGCACCCAGCCCAGGCAGATGGAGGGCAGGGAAGGCCACCAGAAGACTCTGAGGAAAGGGGAATCAATCTGTGAACTCTGCCTAGAACACATGGGTGGTGACAGTGAAAGAGAAAGCCTAGGAGATAATAGGTGCCAGGTACATCATGCGTTGTTTTCCATATCTCATGTATGGAAATTGGATCTTAGCCCTATGGTGCCTTTTTTTTTTTTTTTTTTTTTTGAGACAGTCTCACTGTGTTGCCCAGGCTAGGGTGCCGTAGCGTCAGCCTAGCTCACAACAACCTCACACTCCTGGGCTCAAGCAATCCTCCTGCCTCAGCCTCCTGAGTAGCTGGGACTACAGGCATGTGCCACCATGCCCGGCTAATTTTTTCTATATATTTTTAGTTGTCCGATTAATTTCTTTCTATTTTTAGTAGAGACGGGGTCTCGCTCTTGCTCAGGCTGGTTTTGAACTCCTGAGCTCAAACGATCCGCCCGCCTCGGCCTCCCGGAGTGCTAGGATTACAGGCGTGAGCCACCGCCCCCGGCCCCTATGGCGTACTTTTTTATTAGTTGCCTTCATTTTCTAAATCAGGGAACAGGCTCAGTGTAGGGGCCCCTTGTGGAGGGTCTTTGATGGGCCTGGCTAACAAGATTCTGTCTCAGTTCTTGGTTTTTGTGAAGCTCCGCCTGTTCCTACTGTCTCTGTCATGGGACAGCTCAGCCCAGGGTTGAAATTAAAACAGGGAATAAATTGGCTGTGTGAGCTGGAGTCTACATTTCTCTGTGTGCTGTCTATTCATGAACTTCAATCATTAGCATGCCGGGCTTTATTTTCACCTAACAAAATGTCGTCCCATCCCCGGTCCATGATCGGAAGTTGTCTTTGGCTCTGCCTCTGCCTTCCTTTTCCCTGGTCCCTTGGACAGTTGCTTCACAGTCTCCATGGCCTCTGGGGAGGGCCAGGTTTGCTGGCCGGTTTCAAACCATTCTGTTGCATCCCAATGTCAGTTGCAGGCCTGGAGCTTCAGGCCCTTACCAATCCAGCTCTGGACTCGGGGGTCAGGGGGTTGCCCCCAAGCAAGACTACAGCAGTTACCAGTCCCAATCGGGAATAGGCCCTGGCTCTGCTACCTCATGGGATCCTGGGCAATTCACCTCCCCTGGCTGGGCTCAGTCTCCCCACTTAGAGAATGGGCATAGTAATGGCTTCATCTGGCACCCAGTGCCCCATGTGGCCAGAGAAGAGGGTTGAGAACTCAGAACCCTAAGGAGCTGCACCATCCCTGCACTCCAGCTTAATTGGAGGCAGGAGGGGAGGAAGCCCAGGCTTTAATTTCAGTCCCTCACATTGCAGCTCCAACCTGTTTTCTGGGAAGCAGGTGAGGAGCCTCCTGTGCTCCAGCTCAGGACAGCGCTTGTCTGGCCACTCAGGCTGGGGCTCCAGAGTAGGGAGGTACTCAGGCTCTAGCTGAGGGCCGGGGAGGGGGATTTGGGGATGGGTGGTTGTGAGCTGGAACCTCAAGGGAAGGGAAGAACAGCCTAGCAGGAAGCCTTATGCGTGAGCAAGTGTGCACGGGATGATGCAGATTATGCAACCACACGGGCGTGCCTGCCTCTGTGGGCCTCTGCATTTAACCTTGCAGGTGGATGTGGATGAGTGGGAGTCTGTATCCGATGTGCGGCATGACTTGGCTGAATGCACACATCTGTATGCGCTAGTCTTTATGTGTGTAGGTATTCACTTCCAGCTCTGGTTTGCTGCAAAAGGGGAAATCTGCTCTGTTTTTGGAGAGCAGGTCAGAAAAAGCTCTCAAGTAGGAGGCAGGAACCCTGGATTTCTTCTTGTGGCTTTAAATAAAGCTTTCCCTTTCAACTTAGCAGGTCTTTTGTTAAAATAAAGTAAATCTTTCCCTTTCTTGGGGTTTCAGTTTCCCCAGTTCTGACTGACCTAAGTCTTTCTATCTAATTTCATTTAGTGAACTCTCAAAAGGTCCTCCTTTCTGGCTGTGGTATCTGACAACCTCCTCTAATCCAAAATACTTTTAGCTGAAGACTGTTTCCCTCTGCCTAGCTCCTTACTTTGGGGAAAAAGAGCAAGACCCCAAAGCCTAGGGGTCCATGCAGCAAGCTACATTCAATGAAGTCCCGAGGCTGCTTGGTCGCTGACCTATAAAGTGAGATTCCTCCCCCAAATATACATGTAACCCCCCCAACATCCGGTGCTTGCTTTGTGAGTCACAGATTAATCCAGGTGAGTGATAAGGGGGAGGCCTGGGGCACGTGAGTCACCCCTACCCTGCACAGGAAAGGCCAGTCTGCCCATCCTACACCTGCCCCCCACCAGGAGGAGGAGAAGGAGGCATCTCAGACTGCCTCAGGGAACTAAGGGGGACAAAGAAGAGAGGGGTGTTCCAAACCCACAGGGAGACTTCCTTTCCCACTTCAGTTTCTGGGAGGTGGATGGAGAGGATAGTTTTTCTGGTTTACATGAGGCCCAGAGTTGTAGGAACTTGTCTGGGGTCAGACAGGGAGTTGGCGAGTAGAGCTACAGAGGACCTAGGTGTCCTGGCTCCAGGCAAGCCACCTGCTGCTGAGCCTGGCTTTGTGGGGCATGGAGGAATAAAGGAGTAGTGGGGCCCGAGTTGCAGATCTCTGCGACGGTCAGGAGAGAAGGGAGAAGCCTGGGCTTCCCTGTTCTGGGCTGCCGGCTAGCCTCCCTGCCTCCCCTGCCCACGGCCTTGAATGCAGCTGCTTATAGCAGCCCAGAGGGCAGGGCCAAGGGGAAGAGTAGGGTGGATGATGAGCACTCTGGTCCACCTCGGCCCAAGCCTGAGTCTCCTCTGCTGCCCAGCCTGGGAGCTCCTCAAAAGCAGTGGCCAGCTCTCCTCTATTCTCCCAGACAGGAAGCCTCCATAGGACAGGGCTTGGGTCTCCTAAAGACAAGAGGCCCAGCTTGGGTCCTGACTGAAGGGGAAGACAGGACTGAGATACAGCCCCTGTTCCACTTGACGACCAACAGTTTGCATGAAAAAGACAATTGTGGCATCCTGGCCTTTCCCTAGTCTCCCTCCACAAAGCCTGCCCCCATCTCCCAACCTACAGGGTCTCCCCGGAGCCCAGTTCCCACTTACGCCACATCTAGAGACCCTCAGGAAGTCATTTCTGAGGTTTGGGAAGTCTCCTGCTGCAGCCTGTCCCTGCCCGCATCCTTCCCCATGACGCCTCTCCTCCAGGGCGGCTGCCGGTGGCTGCACCGTAATTAGCTGTCAGGCTGGGTGGCATGAAGGTAGAGCATACTGGGGTTTATGCACACCCTCCACCTTTCTGGTACGCCGAATACAGAGCCTCCTTCTGCCACCTTCCGCCACCCCGCCACCTGTCCCCTGCCCTTGGACCACAGGCCCTTCAGAGAGCAGTTGTCCTGCTGGCCCCTGGGCCCTACCTCAGGCTCCTGTCCACCCAATTCTGCCCACTTTCATCTTCTTCAGCTTCTTGCTGACTTGCCCTCCTCACTCTGCTTCCTAAATCCCAAATTCACACCTTCCTCCCTCCAGCCATTGCCCAGTGTCTGCCCTCTTTTCCTCCCCCAGGGCTTCCTCCCAGGCCTTGAGCCTCAGTCTCTCTCTTCCAACCCACCCTCCACTCGGCAGCTGGAGG